GTGAGGCAAGTCTCTCTGGAGGTGGTGTCGGCTTGGGTTTGGCGTCCTTTTGTTCGACCTGGTGTTTTTTCTCTGAGATATTTTAGATTCTAAATACTGTTGTTGCTCTTGTTGTTTTTAATATTGTTGTTGAGTAGGGGTGCGGGAAACTGATAGTGGTGTTTAAATGGTAGTACTTTCCTTCCTCTTGTTTTCGTGTATTTGCTTCTCATGAATTCTCCGCTGCTGATTTCGGACGTGGACGGGGTGGGATACATACCAAGCTTAATTACACTCGCTATTGGGGGTGGGGGGGGGGGGACTCTTTCTTTCCATTATTTGTAGCGTAATTGGTTTGATTACAATCTACGTTTTAAAATTTTATCAAATAAAATGGGGTGTTTCTACTTTCATGTTGAGAGCTGCTGGGAGTGAAAAGAAGCATCAAGGAGTAAATATACAGTTACTTAACCCTATCCGTACGTCGTGTTTTACTATCGTATCCATTCAACGCGAGGAACTCTGTGCCACCACTTTCCAAAGAGGAAATTTACTCGTTAATCCGATCCGTACGCTTTGCATAGCAGTCTGTCAAAATATTTTTTGAGAAATACTGAAAGTCTCAACGAGATCTTCGTACTAGAAGTATTGTTAAATGTGAAGAATACAACCCCGGAGGTATAAAATGACCCCAATGTGTACGGATAGGGTTAATTATGACGTTATTTTGATGAAAAACATATTATAACGGCGCAGAGGGAGATCAAACTGGTGAGAAAAGAGAAAGTGACCGAGTCCCGGAGAATGGACCGATTCATCTGGAGCCTGGAGGACGCCACCCAGGAGCTCCTCATCAGGACAAAAATGGAAGCATTATACGTCACCAAAACCGGTTTGTGATGATTGTGGGTGGAAGTAAAATGTAACCCCTCACCCCCACCCCCACTCCGCCTCTCCTCTTGTCTTTGCACATCACAATGATCAATATCTCCTGTTTTCTATTTCTTTAGCGCGTGAAGGGTACCAAAAAAATGGGACGTCAATTTTGGGATAATATGAGTTATGACGTGGATTGGAAAGTGTTTCTGCGCCTCTTCTGGTACATCTAAGTCGCTACTCTAGAATCACCAAGTTCTTTCTGCTCGGTACTTAGTTTAGAAAAAAAAATAACGAAAAAAATGTTGAGCTTCACAGCATGTCAAGCTTTTTCGAAAGCACATCTTTGAATATATATTGATAAAGACTCCGAATAATCTTATGAATTTTACAGAGCAATTAACACATTTATTGCCTTCTGACCTCATGGTCTTAGTATCTCAAAACGCAAAATATATCAGATAAAACTTTGTAATTCTTAGGTAGCGAAGTTTCAGGAATTAAAACCTGGTGAGTCGCCCGATAGATATCAGGCTTGGAAAATAAGCTATACTATGGAAATATTGTGGGCTTTCAAGCATTTCATTTGTGTTTATCTCAAAATGCCAAGAAGTGACATCCCTTATTTTTCCATTGTGCCTTTCATTTATTGCAACTCCTCTGTGACCTCTACAGTGACCCCTAATGCCTTGCACACTGTCGAGCACTTCAAATGAGGGGCTATACTTTACTTTTACCCGATTATGTTCAGGCAGGGGACTTGTTCGTTAGTTCATATGTTCGTTAGTTTGTTCTGTCTTTCGTTCATTTGATATATCATTCATTTGTTCGTACTTTTGTGTGTGTGTGTTTGTGTGTGTGTGTGGGTGTATGTGTGTGTG